AATATGTTCTCTTTTTTGGTAAGTTGCTAGAGTCCTATCAAATCTATTTGTTTACCAAAGAATCATCAGAAGAATGAACTTTACCCTTGTTGATGCTCTTATTTTGCAACTGCTTCCCAGTTTCTTTGGTTTCTCCTCTAATATTTAGCTCTTTTACTTTCTAGATGGATTTGATTTACCATCTGTCTAAGTTATTCTTCCAGTTGCTGTGACAGAATATTCTGACAAAATCAACTTAAAAGAGGAGTTTTTCTGAATCACAGTTTGAGAGTACAGTCCATCATGATAAGGAAGTCCACGCAGCAGGAGGCTAAGTGCCTGGTTACCCTGCAACCACAATAAGGCAGAGAACTGAATTGTTCTTTTATATAGACAAGGACTCCAACCCAGGGAATGGTGGGTCTTTCTACTGCAATCAACCTAATCAAGAGTATTTCCAGAGGGCCATCTCTCTAGTGATTCTAGACCTCATCAAGCTGACAACGGAGACTAATCATTACACCATCTTTTCCCTTAAGGTTCTTGTTTAATCACTAGTTTTCAGCCTTTCATCTCTGTAACATATGGATGGAAAGCTACTAATTATTAAGGCTATTTTTAACATATTTAACTGTTGAGCCAGGTCTGATGGCCCAACAACACTCAGAGGCAGAGACAGGCAGAGCTCTGTGAGATGGAATCCAGTCTGGTCCACACAGCAAGCTCCAGGCCAGCCGGAGCTACACAGTGAGACCCTCTCTCAAAAACAGACTGTTTTTAATTCCATCTCACATTTTGATGCATTCTATCACCTTTATTCTGCTGAAATATGTAGATTTTCATTATTTTTTTATTCCATCGTAAAACATTGGGCAGTATATTTCTTTAAAAGGTAATACATAATCACCCAGTGAAGCTCATTTAAAAAAAAAAACAAAAAACAAAAAAAAAACCCAAGGTTGGTTTTACATCCAAAAATCAAGCAATGTTGGTCATGAACAAGTCATAAAGCATTCTAGCTTTATTCATGACCACCAAAGCACCCATCTGATGAGTTTTTCCCTAAAATAAATGAGTACCTAATGGTACCAGATTATTATTAATTGAATAATAGAATGGCATAAGGTCATTATGGTGGGCCCTAAAGTCCTGTGGTCACAGCCTTTCAGACAAGGGTATGCAGAAAAGAACACCGTCTGAAGACTGGAATCCCACTACTGCAAGCCAAACAACCAGAAGCTAGAAGTGCCTCAAACAAACCCTTCCTCAGTGCTCTCTAAGGAAACCGGACCATGACAGCACCTCAATTTTAGACTTCTAACCTGTAAATTTTTAAGATAATAAATTTGTTAAGAGTATGTATATATGTGTGTGTGTTACAACAGTGAGAGTAAATAACGAATTATCATAACAGATGAAGAATATTCACTAGACAAAATTCAATACCACTTCATAATTAAAATTGAGACACCTAACAACAAAAGGGAACTTAGTAAATCTGATAAAGGTTGTCAAGAAGAAAACTGGAGCTTCTGTATTTAATATTATAATAAGATTTAAAAAGCCAAGACATTGTCTATCACCATTTCTGCATTAACATATGGCCTGTGCAAGAGAGCAAGTAAAAGACCAAGAGCAGAGAGAGAGGCTCTGAGCGAGAGGCTCAGTGCAGAGTGCTTCTGCCTGGCCCCAAGGTCCTGGGTGGGACCCAGCACCACCAAAAAGGGAGTATGGAGAAGACCTGGACTGGAGAAAAAGAAAGAGCCACCCATAGCGGGATAAAGCTTTTCTTTTTAAAGTATTTTAAGTACTGAGGTGTACAGAAAGAAAAACTACTGCTTCCACTCTGGATCTCCACTTTGAAGTGCCACTGCCAGCAAGAGAGCCAGGAAGACATGCCTGCATTGATCTTTAAAGTAAAGAAAGCAGCCTCATGACGACAGGGAACTTAACTGACACACTGCTGGGCCTCCAGGTCTTTAAAAGCTGATCTATTGTTTACAGCTAAGCCACTCAAAAATCTCATCACAGAACATTTAAGTTAGACAAAATCACTGTGCAGACCATAAAATACCAAAAACTTCCCCGTCTCATTAAATGATACCTACTGATTTTTTTAATCATTTGCTTTTTTTTTTTTAAATCTTCATCATTGTCTGTACCCTCTATATAGATAAGATTTTTTCAGTCAGGTGCAGTGGCACACGCCTGAAATCCCAGCATTCAGGATACTGAAGCAGATGGATCACTACAAATTCAAGGCCTGAGAAGCTGTCTTTTAAGAAGGGAAGTGGAAGCCGGGCATGGTGGCACACGCCTTTAACGCCAGCACTCGGAAGGCAGAGGCAGGCAGATCTCTATGAGTTCAAGGCCAGCCTGGTCTACATAGTGAGTTCCAGGACAGCTGGGGCTACAGAGAGACCCTGTTTCAAAAAGACCAAAAAATAAAAATTAAAAAATAAAGAAAAGGGGAGTGGGGTGGGAAGGGTGGGAATGGAGGAAAGAGCTCAGCAGTTAAGAGAACTTACTGCTTTTCTAGTAGACCTGGGTTTGGTTCCTGCATTCACATGGTGGCTAACAACCATCTTAACTCCAGTTCCAGGATTCAACACTGTCGTCTGATCTCTGTGGGCACTGCACAACTCAAATGCACTTATATACATCCAGGCAAAACACTCATATACATACAATAAAAATAATTTAAAAAAATTTATATGGG